ATGAAATTGGCCTTGCCCCAGCGCTCCAGCCTATCGGCATCCCTCTATAGAGTCTCCCTACCCTCAAGCAGATCAACACTTGGTACAAACTTACTAAGGGTGTGCTCTGTCCCCTCGTCCAAATCGTTGATAAAAATGTTAAACAGGAGCAGCCACGGTACTGAGCCCTGGGGGACACCACTCATGACCAGCTGCCAACTGGATTCAACTCTGCTGACCACAACTCTTTGGATTTGGCCATCTAACCAGTTTTTCACCCAGTAAAGTGAATGTTCATCCAGGCCAAGAGCAGACAATTTCTCTAGGAGAATGCTGTGGGCAACAGTCTCAAATGCATTAATAAATTCAAAGTAGACAACATCCGCAGCCTTTCCTTCATCCAACCAGCGGGTCACCCTGTCATAGAGGGAGATTGGGTTTGTCAAACAGGACCTGCCCATATAAGCCCATAGTGACTGGGTCTCATCACCTCGTTGTCCTGCATGTGTTGCATAATGGAACACAGGAAGATCTGCTCCATCAGCTTTCCTGGAACTGAAGTCAAGCTAACAGTTTCCTGGATCATCCTTCTGTCCCTTCTTATAGATGGGTGTTGCACTGACTGACTTCCAGTCAGCTGGGAGCTCCCCAGACTGCCAGGACTGCTGATAAATGATGGACAGTGACCATGAAATTATTAAGTTCTCTATTCTTAGAAATGTTAGGAGGAGACACAGCAAAATTGTCAGTTGTGACTTTAGAAGAGCAGACTTTGATTTGTTTGGGAGATTACTTGACAGAATCCCTTGGGAGTTAGTTTTGAAAGGTATTGGAGTTCAGGAAGGCTGGACACTCTTTAAGGAGGAAAGCTCTCTCAGTACTCTACGATGTACCCCATCTGGCCCCATAGATTTGTAGATATTGATGTGGAGCAGCAGGTCCCTGACCATCTCCTCCTGAATTGTGGAGGGAGATGTTTTGCTCCTGGCCCTCATCTCTTGGCTTGGGAGGGTGGCTTCGCTTAGTGCAGGTATTTTTACTACTAAAGACTGAGGCAAAGAAGGCATTAAGCACCTGAGCCTTATCCTCATCTTTTGTCACTATATTTCCTCCTGAGTCTAGCAGGGCATGGAGGCTCTCCTTGGTCTTCTTTTTGTTACTAATATATTTATAGAAGGTTTTCTTGCTGTACTTTACTTTGAAAGCCACATTAATTTCTAGCTTCTAATTATCTCCCTGCATAACGTAACGTTATCCTTGTACTCATTGTGAATGGCCTGGCCCTTCTTCCAGAGCACATAAACTCTCCTTTTTTTCCTCGATTTTCAGCCAAATGCCCCCATTTAGCCAGGCTGGTCTTCTGTCCCTCTGACTCGTCTTAGGGCACGTAGGGATGGCCTGCCCCTGTGCCTTTAAGATGTCCTCCTTAAAGAGTGTCCAGCCTTTCTGGACTCCCAATACCTTTCAAAACTAACTCCCAAGGGATTCTGTCAAGTAA